GTTAGCCAGGATGGTCTCGATCTCCTGACCTTGTGATCCACCCGCCTCAGCCTCCCAAAGTGCTGGGATTACAGGCGTGAGCCACCACACCCAGCCCTACCCTTATTTCAACAGGGCTTGACTAGGAAGCAGCTCTTTATTCCCTGACAATGTGGGGTCATGTGCTTTTCCTACTATTTGGAAAGTCAACACCTCTCACTCTCCTCTCTATGATAGCCTTCTCTTGGGCTGTTTTCAGCCGCTGGGGCAGTACTCATCTGTCTTTTTCTGACTCACTTGAAGCCCTCCTGAAAACTCTAATTCTTTCTAGTTCTCCCTGCAGGATATCGTCATTCTTGAATTCCTCTACCCCAGGCCATGTTCCCATTACACAGTTAATTGAAGGGCAGGTGCTCTTTCCAGCTAAGGGCTGGCCATCTACTGAAAGATTGCCTAAGGCAGGAGTAGTTTGTCCTTGTTCATACACATGGCCAGTTGTCCTAGTACCACATATGAAGGTGTCTATCCATGCCCATGGTTGGGCACACCACCTCTGTCATTTATCAAGCTCCTTTATGCTGGGGCAACTCCCACCTCCCATACCCATACCTCACTTTGGGTGCCTTAACTCCAGACCAGAGTTGGGGCCAGATTGAACATAATGGATGGAATCCTCACTATGCACAGTATGAAGGCTGCAGTAGACTCACCTGCCACAGAAAATGCAAGGAGGCAAGTGACATTCCCAGCACACCAGGGGCCTTGACTCCAGGGGAGCTGAGCAGAGTTCTCTGGAACAGGAGGGAGGAACCAGGCTTGAATGGGCCTCTGTAGTGTCTTCTACATTCACCTGTGTTTTTGAGGAGGTGGACGGAGGCAGCAAGACCAGCTATTCCAACATCCAGGGCAGTGGCAACTTGGCCCTCCCTCAGGTTCAAAGTCAACTGGGCCAGGATCCCTCTCCCTCTCCTGGGAGGAATAAGACTACTGCAGTGGTCCTCCCTTATTCAAGAGAGATACGTTCCAAGACCCCCAAGGGATGCCTGAAACTGGATAGTACTAAACCCTGTGTAGTGCTTTTTCTTATATATACACACCTATGATAGTTCATATTTAAAAATTTTTTTTTTTAGAGTCAGGGTCTTGCTCTGACACCCAGACTGGAGTGCAGTGGCACTATCATAGCTCACTGCAGGCTCAAACTCCTGAGCTCAAGCCTGCCTCCTGCTTCAGACTCCTAAGTAGCTGGGACTACAGGCATGTACTACCGTATCTGGCTAATTTTTGAAATTTTTTGGTTTTTTTTGGTAGCGACAGGGTCTTGCTTTGTTGCCCAGGCTGGTCTGGAACTCCTGGCCTCAAGCAATCCTCTCAAAGTGCTGGGATTACAGACATGAGCCACTGCACCTGGCCAGTTTAATTTATAAATTAGATTCAATAAGAAATGAACAATACAAATAGAACAGTTATAACGATATACTGTAATAAAACTTATGTGAATGTAGTCTTTTAAAATACCTTATTGTACTATACTCGCCTATTTTCAGACTATAGTTGACCAAGGGTAACTGAAATGGCAGAAAGTGAAACCATGGACTACTGTATCTTAGTAGTAGGTTGAAGGAAGGTGTGATTCACCTCATACCTACATGGGAGTCCTTGTCCTTCTCCACTAGTTATGGGATCCAAGGGAACAAATACCAGGAATGGACTAGTGAGACAGAGGCCCAGGATCAGGCAAAGATGATTCACCTTTAACACTAGTAGCAGGGCCACCGCCTGTGGGCGATGCACAGCTCTGCTAGGACCTGGTTTTAAGGCAAGAACAGCATCAGAAATGAAGTGGAAGACAGGAGAAAGAGGGAAGGAGAGAGTCCCTAGTTCAGGTTCAAGGCTTAAAAACGAAGTGTTAATCCAGAACTTGCCTTGAAAAAGGATGGAAAAGAGAAGAGGAATGTTTAGTGACAGCCTGTGAGCCACAGACAGTTCAGGACAACCCTCTCCCATTCCCTCCTGCCATGGTACCTGGGTGTTATGGACAGCACCAAGTACAGTTGGATCCCCAAGATCATTCTCTTCCTCCTCTTCCTGCTCCAGGTCTGGGTCCAGATCCTCCTCCTCCTCCTCCTCTTCCTCCTCCTCCCCTTCATTCTCTTCTTCTTTTTCCAAGTGGCAGGCAGACACCAGCTCCTCCTCAGGAGCCAAAGGGCCACAGGTCTTACCTGGCCCTTGGTTTAAGTGTGGGCCAGAGGAGAAGGTAAAATGGGGGCTCAGGTGTGAGTCTTGTCTAGAGACGCTACTACTCAATAGCACTTCTGTTCTTAAGCCATCTCCAGCACCACCTTTGAACATAATGCCTCCTGTCCTGTGGGTTTAACTCAGCCTCCCCTCTCCCAAGTTCCCCTGAACCATCCCCTAGTAAGTCAAATGAAACCTGAGCCAGGTGTGGTGGCTTGTGCCTGTAGTCCCAGGTACTTGGGAGGCCAAGGTGGGAAGATCATTTGGGCCCAGGAGTTTGAGATCAGCCTGGGCAACACAGTGAGACCCTGTCTCTAAATAACAATTTAAAAAGCAAACAAAAGGAACCTGGCAGATACCAAACACCTTCACTTTCACATCACCTCTTCAATTGCTTAAGTTCTAGCACAGCCTTTTCCATCTGCTCTGCCCCACCCAACGCCCTTTCTGTTGCCTCTTTGAACAAGTTCCAGCTGCCCCGACTCACTGCAATTTAACCCTACTGTGTGCCATATACTTTACGTGCATATGTTCATTTAATAGTCATATGAGGCTGTCCTGGGTTGTTATGGATAATTTTGCTAGGTTGGTGAGAAAAATAAAGCCCAGAAGAGTGACCTCTCAGTCACCCACTGTAATATAATTAGCAAGTGGAAGAATTGGGAACGACTTCCGGTGACTCTGGCCATCCAAGCCCATACATGAAACAGACCAGCAAGCTCTGCATGCTGGGGCATTTATATAACACCACGGCCCACTTGTTGATACCTTCAAGGCATTTCATCTTGGTAGGCTGGTGGACTTCCTTCTTGGCTGTGTCCTCCAGTGAAAGAGCATTGCCAGCCTCTGGAAGGTAAACCTGAGACAAGAAAGAGGTCAAGAGGCACCATTGTCAGTAAGGATGATATGGCACCCTAAAACAGCCATGGAATCCTCCCAGCAAGATGGTTAGAAAATTCTTGGCCATGGTCTTGAGGAGAGAGACCCTGGGGTCTCAGACTGCCATAAACCCCCACCCTCCCAGCTCAGCTCTAGGGAGCTGTCCCACAAAGGGACAGAAATGAGGGACAGGCTAGGAGAAGGAAGAGAAGTACTTCCCAACGGACATCACCAGTCACCGTCCGAGTGTGGTGATGCCTTGCTGCCGACACCCACCATCTGACTGTTGCTGCCCTTTCTGTTTAAGTTATTCATAGCAGCCTGGGCCGGGACCTGTTTGCTGCTCCTGCCTTTAAAAGTCCCAGCTCCTCCCCTGCTTACCCATTAAAGGGCCAGCATCCTCCAACCTTTGGGGCCTGATGGAAATATGAGAACATAGTTTAATGATTAAAAAAATCCTTGAACAGAGAAAAGACATAAATTGCATTTTAGCCATCCATGGTTTTTAGTATAGTTTATTGGGATTGATATTTGGGGGCAGATATTTAAAAAGAGGATCCCTGTTTTCCACACCCTTCATTGGTACTTTGTTAGGTTGCATTTCATTTAATCCCTCGGTTTTGCTTCAACAAACTTGGATAGGAAAGTCCTGGGTAGATCCTGGGGAGGATGCCTAGCAACCAAGTTCCTGGTGCTTCAGGGCAGCGTACTTGAAGCCCTCAAGTCCACCTGATGATGCTTGCTCTTCACCGGGTCATGTGAGCTTAAGTCAGCTACTCAGCTCGGACTGATGAGAGACCCCTGTGAATTTGGAAGCCAGATCTTCACGGTAAAAACACTTTTGCATGAGATACACAATCTTACATCTTCTTGGCTGCTCTAATGGCAAACTGGTCCAGAAGCTCAGAAGTAAAAACAAATCAACAACAACAAAAACAGAACCATAGCTGCTCCTGGTAGGCAAAACCCAACACCCTCCCAAGCCTCATCTAACCCTTGGTTCTGTGCCCACATCCTGTGTCCAGCTGAAACCCACATGACTTTGTAGAACTTCTGAATAAAAATAAAAAGTAAGTTAATTTCCCTACATCAAAAATGAAAGTTAGGATCCTCTTGTCATCGTGATAAGATCATGATTCTCGGTGCCTTTAAAGGAAAATATTTGTTTCAGAAGTTTTACTGCAGGTCATAAACGATATGGGTGGGGGAACAAATATAAGTAGCTTGAAAGTTACTGAAAAACTTCTCATATATCTGAATTGGGTTCTGGCCTTTTTTTTTTTTTTTTTTTTTTTTTTTTTGTGAGATAGCATCTCACTCTGTCACCCAGGCTAGAGTGCAGTGGCATGATCTGGGCAGCCTCCATCTCCCAGGTTCAAGAGATTCTCCTGCCTCAGCCTCCCGAGTAGCTGGGATTACAGGCAGCCACTACCATACCCAGTTAATTTTTGAATATATATATTTTTTTCAGTAGAAACAGCGTTTTGCCATGTTGGCCAGGCTTGTCTCAAACTCCTGACCTCAAGTAATCCACCTGCCTTGGCCTTCCAAAGTGCTGGGATTACAGGCACGAGCCACCATACCCGGCCAGGTTCTGGCCTTTTTGGTAATGTTATTCAGCTGTTTCTCTCAGGAACTTCCTAATAACGTACTTTGGCACTATTAACCAAAGGACCAAATGGTGAATTTCAGTGTTCTAGAGGTGATTCATCAGGTTGTTTTAGAGATAGATCTTAAGGAGAAACTTGTTGCATGAAGATTTTCATTCTGAAGGGACTTCTGGTATTGACTAGTACCAAAGCAGGTGGATTAGGGCTCAGTCTTTAAGATCACAGCCCTGCCCTGGCTGTTCGGAGTTTCACTTGGGACCTACTGTTTTTTATGAAGGTCCCCTGCCCTTATCTCATATGTCTACTGATCCTCTAGATGTTCTAACTTTCCTGCCATCATTTAATTATGTTAAGTTTAAGCCAAGCCTATGCTAGGTTTGGGGTACACAATGAATAAAGCAGATGCTTCCCACAGCCTCTTAGAGCTTCTTCTAGAATAAGAAGTACACACAGGTACACAGGATTGTTGGATCAGATTTTAAAAAGACATTAGAGTGACTCATACCTGTAATCCCAGCACTTTGGGAAGCTGAGGCAGGAGGATCATTTGAGCCCAGGACTTCAAGACAAGCCTGGGCAACATAGGAAGACTCCGTCTCTATTAAACAATTTTTCTTAAAGAAAAAAAATGACATTAGAAATATTTAAATTTGCTGCATAAAACACTTTTATGGGGAGATTTTTAAATCCATTGTTTCAGGTTATTTAACAGCAGTAGAGCTAGTCTGGCTTTCAATTTCTTCTTGAGTTTTAAGTTATATATCTTCTAGGAATTTGTCCATGTGTCCATTTCTTGTAAATTTTCAAAGTTGTTGGCATAAAGTTGTTCATAGTATAAGAGTATTTAAAAATCCATGCTATAACTATACTTTGTCTTTCCTACCCCCTTTTATTTACTTATTTTGAGAGAGTCTTGCCTGTCACCCAGGGTGGAGTGCAGTGGCACAGTCTCAGCTCACTGCAACCTCTACCTCCCGTGTTCAAGCAATTCTCCTGCCTCAGCCTCCAAAGCAGCTGAGATTACAGGTGCATACCACCATGCCTGGCCAATTTTTGTATTTTTTTTTTAGTAGAGATGGGCTTTCGCCATGTTGGGCAGGCAGGTCTCCAACTCCTGGCTTCAAGTGATCCGCCTGCCTTGGCCTCCCGGAGTGCTAGAATTACAGGCATGAGTCACTGCGTCCGACCCTTTGTCTCCCTTTTTATTCCTAATATTATTCATCTCCTCCTTTGTTCTTCTTTCCAGAGTTTGTCTGTTTTATTAGTCTTTTAAAAGAACCATATATGTCAGGTTTCCTTCAGGAAATAGATGGTGTACTAAAACTGGATAATCTAGTAAAGAGATATTTATAAAAGTATAGAAAGAGTATAGTGAAACCACAAATAATAGCAGAATCCCCTGGGACTGGGACAAGAGGATGGAACAGTCACCAGAACTTGGAGAGAGAGAAGGCTGCCTGGCTTCAGATAATGTCAGCATCTGTGCCGTATGAGTTCCAATGTGGCAGCCCTCTCCTAAATTATACCCATTCCTCTGGATCTGGGATCTGCTCCCTCCCCTTTCCCCTGAGGTCTGGGGGTGGGAAAGGCTCCCCACTCTTGCTAGTTCCAGGGTGCTTCACTGTCCTTTACAAGTTTCCTGTTCACAGCTTGATGAATATTCCCTTTCGGACATGCTCCTCAGTTACAGCACTTGAATGTGCCATCTGCTTCCTTTTGGGAGCGTGACTGACACTGCTCCATCACCAGCCTGCTGAGCTGTTCTTTAATTTGTCCTTGTTCAGCTTCCTCTCCCATCCATCTCTCATTAGGGATTCTAAAAGACAGGGATTATCCTCCAGTCCTCCACACAACTCCCATCTTTTCTCTCAGCAGTCAACCTCACCTCTTATGTTATGGGGAAAATAGAGGCCATTGGGGCTGATCTACTTCAATTCATACTTAGAGGAAATTATACACAGCCACAGGCCTCCTCACCTTGCACTTCCAGGTGGGGGGCCCTCCTCCTCTTCAAGTCCAGACTCTCTTCCTGGATGTTTGGCCCTTCAGCCACTTCTCTCTGTGTCTTGAACCTCTCTGTTTTCCCCTCTTTTTCTTAAAGTATAGCATAGAAATATCAGGATGTGTCCACTTCTTGGAGACAAATCCCCGTCTTGTTTTTGTTCCTTATTTTAACTGCCCTTTAGGTCTCTCCTACCCAACAAACCAAACTTCTCCATTTCCTCACATCATTCCTTCAACTGTTGCTTTCTGGCTTTTGACTCCATCATAGTGGTGGCAACAGGGACAAACAGACATAATCTCCATAAGCCCCTTCAATACTTTTTCTGGACAATTGGCAATTATTTGACGTGTTAGTGCTCTGCAAATGCAGGGTCAAGACAAGTCCCCTACCCTTACTTCCACCTAGATGCCACCTATATAATTCTCAGGTTAAAAAATATATATCTGGAGCTACCATTACTAGTTACTCTGCAGAGACTTTTCTCGATACCATTACCAATGATTTTTCTTCCTTTCTTTTTATTTTTAGAGATGGGGTCTCGCTCTTTCACCCAGGCTGGAGTGCAGTGGCGTGATTATAACTCACTGCAAACTTGAACTTCTGGACTCAAGCAATCCTCCTGCCTCAACCTTCCAAGTAGCTGGGACTATGGCGTACACAACCACACCCAGCTAATTTTTAAAATTTTTGTAGAGGTGGCATCTCACTTTGTTGCCCAGACTGGTCTCAAACTTCTGGGCTCAAGTTGTCCTCTCACCTTGGCCTCCCAAAGTGCTGGGATTACAGATGTGAGCCACCTCTCTCAGCTGTGATTTCTTAACTGTAAGTGCAAAAGACATGTTTCAGTGCTGACCTTAGCTGAAGTCTCTCAGCATTCAACACTGCTGATCATGTCCTCCTTGGATCTTTGCGCTCCCACAGCTTCCCAACACTTGTGTCCTGGCTCTTCCCGTACCTCTTGGGTCATCTTTCTTTGGCCCTTTTCCTGCTCCCTTTATCTTCTTCCCATCCCTTGAATATCCACTTCCTCAGGCTACTTCTCAGTCCTCTATATATCAAAAATTCTTAATCTGAGGATTCCCTGAAATTGTGTATATGTTGGTGTGGTTTTCAATATGTTCAGTTTTCTGGAAAGAGCATCCATAGCTTTTATCACGTCCCAAAGGGATCAAGGATCCGCAAAGGTTAAATCCTCTGCAACCTGATATCCCTGGGCAATCTCATCTCATGCTGATGATTTCCAAGTTCTTTTGTCAGATCGGACACTTCCCAACTTACAACACCTCAGTGTTTCTCATGTCCCATTCTTTACATAAAGCATAAGGCCCTTTACAATCTGACCCTGACTGTCATAGAAGGCAACCAGTCTCCTATCTTAAAGTTCCCTGCCTTCTAGATTGAGTTTCAGAAACAGTAAACCGCTTTTAGCTGCGTGGGGAAATTAGGGTTCCACTTGAGTCTTCTCTCATAATCGCTGTGCACCAGGTTGTCCCTACCCTGGAGACCTCTTGCCCTTGGTCTGGGAGGTATATTCTGTTGTTGATTAAGGCAGCTTCCTGTCCCAGTTCTGTCTTTTCAATGATATTGAAAGTGTGTATCTTAGCAGGTAATATGCTGTGCATTGTGTCATATAAACAAAATGAAGTTACACAGTAAGAGTTATTTGAATTGGAAGATG